ATTTTGACACATTTTGTGCCAGGATAGGGCCCAGAAAAGTGATTGTTACTTACCGAAACATGGCTGCATTTCCTGCTGGGACAGTGGCACAAAAAACAGTTGTCGCTGCATGCCCATTCAAACATTTGAAAAGTTAATTGTAAGATGTGGCTGCATTTCCTACCAGAATAATGGCATAAATAGTGGTTGTTTTTAACCAAGACATCAATACATTTTGTGCTGGGATGGTGTCAGGAAAAGTGGTTATTTTATTAAGACATAGCTGCATTTTCTGACAGGATAGAGGCAAGAAAAGCAACGTTTTTAGGGTCCGGACAGCTGAGCAGCCAGGACACTATTGTAATCCTAGGTATTCTTCTTCTTTCTTCTTGCAAGGAAATCATACTTCCCATGGATGAAAACTCACCAAATTTTGCACAAAGGTCCAGTGTCATGCCAGATATACTCAGCTGTAAACTCAAGCCAATAGTCCTGATGGTGGCGCTACAGCAAGCCTCTAAAGTTCAAAACTTTGAAAATTCATAACAAATCAACCATACGTGCTACAACTTCACAACTTTCATCAAACTGTAGCCCCAATACTGAAGAAACTTTTGTACATTTAAACCTATTAAAAATTTCAGTTCATCACTGTTTTTTTTTTTTTCAAAAACTGTAAAACTTCTTAAACCTATCTCCTCCCACAATTTTTGCTCAACTGACACCAAACTTGCTACAGAGCATCTTCAGACTGTCCTACACAAACTACGTTTCTCAGATTTTTAATTTATCAAAAATTGAGCCTACAGTGCATCAAAATGTTTGACTATAAACGGTACTATAAACATATACATGCAAATTCTTGCTAAATAAATCTTCAATGTTCATGAAAAAAATGACAAAATTCTAGAGTCATGGTAGATGATGTGTGGCAAATTTCAGAATTTTATCTCAAAAACTGAATTTTTGACAGCATTTTGAATTTTGCTCTAATGTGAACAATTGGAGTCAATGTAAAAATGGCAATTTTAAACATCAGTTTTTCACTTATGGAGCAAATCAATCATTGTTACAAACAAATTACCAACATCTCCATGCTGTCTAGATGCAATATGTGTATTTTCAGATTTTTGTCTTAATAACTGAATTTTTTGCAGTGGTTTCAAATCTGCCTTTCCATGCATGGATGGCTGCTTTCCTACACAACAGTGAATGGCTTACTCAATTTGTGAAGCCACTTTTGAGTTGCTACTTGCCAATCAGCTCAGAGCGGTAGATGACCGTCTTAGGTTCCAGAGGTTGCGAGTTCAAGCCTCATCTGGTGCAGAATCCACATTGTAATGTAATCATCTTCCTGTGCTCCAGCTTATTGCTTAAAATTGCCTGAGCGTGACTGATCACTGTGCAGCATCTTCAAGTCTTTTTTCTGCTAGAAAATCTGCCTTCATGAAAATAAACCAAACTTATGGAGCAAATCATTGTTAACATATTACCAACATCTCCAGGGTGTCTAGATGCAATGGGTCCATGTCATTGGTTCGACAACCCATTGGTTCGACATCCCTTTAGTCTGACTGTCCGTGGTGCTGAACGGCTTGCGGTGGGCATATGGTGCGCCGCGACCGGCTTGAGGCAGAGCAGGCTCACAGCTTATGTGTTTGTCACTTTCTTTTTCATTTTAACCCACACCATGATCTTTTCCGGTTTTTGTGCCTAAACCTAACCAGACCTTAACCACAGGGCATCATGATGATTTCGGAACGGACTTCGGAACAATGAGTTTAATATGGTCGGAACAATGGGATGTCGAACCAATGGGCTGTCGAACCAATGGGCAGTTCCCGATGCAATATGTGTATTTTCAGAGTTCTGTCTTGATAAGTGAATTTTTTACAGTGGTTTGAAATCTGCTTGTCCATGCATGGATGGCTGCTAAACCTGCACGTCTGGCTTAGTCAATTTGTGAAGCTACACATGAAATGCCACTGACTAATTAGCTCAGTGAGATAGAAATTGATCCTTAGTCTCAGAGGTTGTGCGTTCAAGCCTCAGCTGATGCAAAAGGCAGATTGTGTTGCTAAATTCCTAAATGTCTTCCAATTCTTCTGCTTGTTGCTCAGAATTGCCTAAAAATGTCCGGACCCGACCCATCACTGCGCAGCAGCTATAATTATTTGCTTTTGTTATTTGTTTTTTACTGCCTTTTAAGCTAAAACATATGCTGTGTATTGACCCATGGGCTGGAATTGTGCCAAAAACAGTGGTTATTATTTACTGAGACATTGGTGGGACTGTGACTCCCAACCCAGGTTTTTTAAGTCAAAACATGATCTTTTCCTGACCATAACCAAATAGTTTTTGTGCTTAAACCTAACCAAACTTTAACCACAGTGTTAATGAAACATAAAGTCTCAACATAACCGCTACATAATAATGTTCAAATGTAACCTATTCATGCTTTGCATACATAAATCACACCTCATTTTAACAGGACTTTGCTTAAACCACAACAATTCCCACATTTTTTTTTTAAAGTATAATTATTTTCTTTTCCTCTGACAGAACCCTCAACAAAGTCGAATTCTACACACTTATTAGACATTTTGAGAAGGACACAATTTCCTTCCTCCTGCTCTTGTTGTACAGTACCAATAGTTCTCATACTTGGCCCTCTGGGCACAGAGTCCTGCTGGTTTCATTCCAGCTCCCCACTCACAGAATAGTTTGCACCTGAGTTGGCAGGTGAATGCAATTAACTAGCTGGTAGCAGGAGAAAGCAACAAGGCTTCAGGCCCATGAGGAACAGGACTGAGAACAACAATCAGTATTGTTTTTACTCTCTCCACCTATACAGGCCACCTAACATACAGCTGAATGCAAAAATCTTCATGCTGCCTTTGTGGAACTTGTCAGAACGCATTATGGAAAATGGAGGAAAGTGGCTGGTTAGGGAAAAATAGATTACACTGCAATTTCTAGAAACAACCAAGCCAGAGTGAGAAAACTGAATCCCAAGGTTGGATTTTTTTAATCGTTTTTACAAACCTTACTATTGTGTAACCACAAGGAAATGGCTGCAGCTTTTCTATGGTGCCCACTGACACTGTCAGCATGCCCTGGAAGAAGACATGAAAAGCTGTTTCACACCAAACATGGATTTTTGTCTCAGAAATTTGCACAGAAATTTATATGGAGTAGAAGGAAAAAATAGGAAGTGCTGCACTGGATCAAGAAATTAGGTGTTGGCAATGATTAAAAATCAGGTGCTTTTTAAAGATAGAGCGAGTAGCTGAATGAGAGAAAAAAAAGCAATGACTTATTTAATGTAGAAGTCCATGGTTTAGGTTGGAAGTCAAGAAAGCATTTTTTTGGCACTCTGATTTTAATTAAAAATCCTTTATACATTGGAGACCAATAGTCAGGTCAAGTTAAGTCTAAACACATTGGTCACCCATGTATTAAACCTACAGGAGACCTCATGCCACCTAACTGTAACTTCAAACAGAGACAACGGAGACTATTTATTTTTGTGATTTAGGAAGCCCAGGTGTGCCACATTGCTTAACAAGGTGCAGCACACCTGGCATGGAAGAGGTGCTTAAGAGCTCCTGTGCCAGCAGCAGAGAAGAGAGGCCTCCAGTGTGGGCACTGCTGGCCTTGCTACCTCTCTTGTCACCCTACTTGGACTTTCACAGCCGTAACTTTCATTCTTATCCCGCCACATCGATGACTTTGGAGTCAGACCGGGTTGGACCAAGTGTTGTAATTGACGAGTTGGAAGTGAGAAAGTTTTGTTTTCTGGGGATCCCCTGAAACTTCCTCAAGAACCCCTGAGGGTCCCCGGACCCCTGGTTGAGAGCAACTGTTCTATATTACATATGTTTATGTGTTCATGCTTCTTGTGTAGAGTCGTTCTGGGTTTAGGTCTGATGGGAGACACTCCTCGCAGCTAAACTCTTAACGGTCCAGGTTTGCAGTGTCCTCAGTGGTTTCCTGAAGCCTTCAGCTATTCCTCCATGTACTTACCCCTGCAAAAATACCTATGTAGATAACTGCTCTCCAAGGCGGGAACTGCAAAATGCAGCTACCAGGAGAATTTTGTTTACAGGCTCTGAGGAGGGATTGTGATGCTGATTGCTACAGTAACAAGTCCCTGAAGTGCCTTTTGAGACATACATTAGAGATCATGTGGAATAGTCAAACAGTTGGCACATCATAAACAACAACTATTTTTAGCTTTGTGTTTTCCATTCGTTTTTATCTGTAGATGGGGTCATTAGCAGCGATGTGGCATGGAGTCATATGACACAGAAGCATAAAGTACCAAAGAAGCAGATGGTTGCACTTTTTGTTGTTGAGTCTAATCGCTGCTGAGTTGCCTGAAGGCATGTGCCCTTGAAAGGCCAACAAGACAGGATCTGGTCTGGTGATAGGACCTGCAATAATAACATTCTTCACTTCTAATACCTTCTTAGCTGTCACGACTGCAAGCACATGTAGTCACTCTAATCATTAGGATGAAACTGCTCCCACTAATTGAAGCAGTGTTAACAGATAGCAGCTTTATACGCAACATTTCCCTTGAGTAACATATTCCAGACTACACTAATCTGTAGAGCAGACTGCCACAGGCTGTACAAAAGAAATAATACATCACACAACGCAGTTAATATAACAGGGAGAGTGGGTGAGCCCAGATGCCCAGAGATGCTTGCCTGCCAACACCCAAGACATACATTTGGTCCTTGAGCGTGATAAAAATCTCAATATAGATTGCTGTCATGCTCTCAAGCGGCGTCAGTCTTATTGCTTCGCAGCACAACACTGCAAACGAGATGAGTTACATGGTGTAATGTTAGACTCTGTGCATTGTGTGTCCGTCAAAGCAACAGACAGGATCCGTGTGGACTTACACAGGCAATTTGAGATATGCAACAATTTACAGTGCAGCATACATTTAACAATTATTTAAATTAATATGCTGAGCTCTTTATTGATCTATGGTTCTTTTTTCTCTGCAGAAAGAGATTCCCATGGAGAAGACACCTGTCAATGCAAACCCGCCTCTCGACTTCTCCCTGGAGTCCCTGAACAAGCTGAATCACAGCAGCTCCAGCAGCACCAGCCTCGGCAGCCGCAGAGGTGACTGCAACGCCGACACGGGGAAAAGAGGGGAGGACTGCTGCAAGGTGGACGAACCCTCCTCCTCCAGCTTCTCAAGCAAGCCCGGGGCGGATCCTGCGGGCTCCCTCAGCGACTCACTGTACGACAGCTTCTCCTCCTGCACCAGTCAGGGCTCCAGTGAGGTGTAGGGGGCAACGAGTAAGAAGGCAGGGCTGCAGAGTCTCCTCTGACATCTTGGACATGTCAAGTTTATGTCCACTTTTTCTCTCCTTGTCAAATTTTTAAGCATGAATTTTGCAAGTAAAAAAATACTTCCATCACCAGAAAAAAAAAATGTTGGCATTGTACGTTTTTGCAAACCATGGATATGATAAATTTGCACAGTGTTTTGCAGTGGATATGTTTCAGCAACACTGATTATCGTGTGGTTAGGTTTAGACATAAAAACCACTTGGTTGTGGTTAAAAAATAGATGATATTTTGGCTTAAAATACTTGGTTTGGGAGTCACAATCACAGCAGGACAAGCAGCAATGTCTCAGTAGAAAACAACCACTATTTTTGGTACAATCCCTGCCTAGTTTGGTGCCTAAAAAGCAGCTGAAAAAAACACTAGAAACACACCGACAGGTTGCTACAAAACACCCAGAGCTGGAGCCTATAGCTGCTGGAAACACGGCAGTGACTCGTTAAATCCCACCAGTTTTGTTGTTTGTTAGTCTTGATTAGTGGTCTGCATCGTGCCTAGGTGACTAGTCACCAACCCCTCCATCTCCAGATGACAAATTCAGCACATATATATTACGTCACATTAGAAACATTGATAAAATATCTCTAAAACGTTCAAATATAACATATTCATGGTTTGCGGAAAAATACAAGTTGGGGCGAGCTGGTGTGTTCTGGTGTTGGTCCAAAGCCTCTTTGGATCTGGTTTTGATCATGCTTTTCTTTCCCCTAAGTTTGGCAATGACGTGGTCTTGACTTTAGGTCTGCCACAACACACGGAGCCCTGCCCTCTCTACATACGACACAAAGCACTTAGTGGAGCTGGAGACACGAGGACAAGACCTCAACCCAAACACCAAACCAGGACTTTTAATAGTTTGACTCTGGGTGCGGTGGACTGGACAGCAATACCCAACGTTGTCTCATTGCAAATGTTTTTCTCCCCATGCTGGGGATCTTCTTATCATTGCACTGTAACAAATACTGTACAAAGTTTGTAAGGAGTGTAAAGTGAACGATTATTCAAGCAGCGATAAGCAGGGCGTCTTTTTGGGGCAACACTGGTTGGCGTACAACAAAATCGTTTGCATTCCTGTTTGCTAGGAAAGTAGATTTAAACCTAAGGTGTCATTTTATGTTTTGCTGCTAAGTACGTTGCCCGTTGAAGTTGCCCAAATATTGTGGAATCACAACCTGTAATAATCAACCTGCTTTATCTTCTCCTTTGAAGCAATACTTTTAAAACTAATAGGATTTAGCTTTTATTTCATTTCTGTTCATTTTAAATTGTGTTGTTTTGAGCAGTTATGCTGCCAAGAACGCCAAGAAAACAGAAATTGGTGCAAAAATGATCACCATTCAGCTAACAATGTTTTTTTTTAGCAGCAGTGATGTCAACTATTGTGTTTCCATGTGGTACATTAACCAATACGAATATTTTTCAGTGTCTGACCGGTACACATTTACAACAAATTATCAGGTTTTTTGGCTTGAACGCACCCAGTGTCATTGTTGGTAGCTCAGGGAACATACTGGACTAATGTAGATTGTAAAATTTTGACAAATACAAACAGCAATCTTATGCTTTTTTTGTTGTTGTTTTTCAGTTCCTGATGCAAACTCCAGAATCCAAACAGCTTAGTTTATCTCATGTAGCGTAGTGTATACCTGAACTCTCCAAACCTCAGTTTTCCTTTCATAGTTGTATATTATGTTGTATATAAAAATAAGTTAATATCAGAATGGGCATTGCTGATTGATATATGCAAATAAGTAAAAAAAAGATGTAAATTGTTTGCCAATCATTCAACCAAGGTTTTAAGTTTTGAAAATCTTTTTTTCTTATGGAATTCTTTAGGGGTTCTTCTTTAAAGCGAAATCTTTATTTTGATCGATAAGACTAAAATATTTTATCACTTTATTTTAAAGACATATTTGAGCTTTTAGGTGAGCCAAATTTCTCTCTGGAATTTGACCAGCTGGTGCTAATCAACAGAGCCGACTGTGTGTTTCAATTTTTCTATGAAACTGTTAATATTGTATGAAGAGAGTCTGAAGTGTGTATTTTTCTAGGTGTCCAGTATTTATACCCACATTTTGTACTGTCAGACTGTAGTGTGATTGTCATGCTTCACCTCTCTCCTTAAATGTTCCTTTGTAAAGAGAAATGGTTACCAGCAGTGTTACTTTGGTAATTATTATTAATGTTATTGTTATTATTATTATTATTATCATTACTGTGTGCAATTTTGTCTGTTACACCAGACTTTAATGCTATATTTTATGTAACTATTTCCTAAATAAATATGAGAAACTATTTCCTATTTCAAACTGAGATGCAAGGCATGTTGAGTGTTTGTATTTCTATTTGTGCGTCACCAGGTGATTCATTCATTCTTTCAACTCGGAAATAAAAGGTTTGGAGGAAACCCGAAATCTTTCACCCCAGGGGCATCGCGTGTAATCACCGCTTCCCACTCACAATCTGTCAGCAGGAGCTGGAGCTGCAGAGCCGGCGACAGTTTGCTCTGAGACTGCGCTCCGCTTCGTGCGGAGGGATTTATAACCATTAGTCCCTTGATGGGTAATTACGTGCATATAAATAAATGCAATTAGTTTATGCACGCGCTGATGATTTCTCTTTCTGGCTGCCTCTCCACGCAGTAATAGGCTCAATGTGTACTGATCACTTTCAAACAGCAACAGAATCAAATTAGTGTATAAATATTGTGATTTGGTGTGTATATTCGATGTTCGAGGATGATGTAAGCAGAAAATAAAATTTCCTACAGGTAAAATAGTCAACAATGATAGCACAGTTTAGATGTGCACTAATCTATTATGTAAGGAAACACCCAAAGGAGCTGGCTGCAGAGGAGTTGATATAATGTCATAAAAAGGACACTAAAGCAGGGGCCTAGATACAGACAGTGTGGAGTTTGGGGTTCCCACCTCAGAATTAAGCTCATTTTTAAACCTTTACTGCAATAATTGTGCTGTCATCTGCTATATATGTCCTTGAAAAGACTAACCTATCTCCCTCATCAACACACTCCCACTCCAACCTTGTCACATATCAGCATTTGGTCATGGACCTTCCACATCCAGATACGGCATGAAAGGTACCCTGGGTGAGTTGGTTGTTGACGTGCCTGTTACATGCATTTTCCTCTTTCAAAATACACTTCCTTTTTTACAGGAAATTTTCCATTTACATACAGTTTCTTTCAAAATAAACACACTACGTCGGTACAACACGATTTCACGTTTTTTTTCCTCCAACAACAAACTCACATGGTTGTGTTTAGGCAACAAAAACAAGAGGTTAGTTTAGGAAAAATTTGGCTTTATTCACACGAACACCACTCTCACGGGTGAAAGTCAGCTGCCTTAACTTTCAGTCTTGTTCTGCCGCATTTTATATATATATATATATATATATATATATAAATATCACATGATGTCATACTACTGAGCTCACTTTGCCACTGCTGCTGTCTTCTAGGTATCTTACCTCATGTCACTCTGTGTTTTTTCATTATTGTCTCTTTGCTTCTCCTGCCATGCCATTATATGGGTCATGTGATGGCCTCTGATTGGTTCCTGCCACTACAGAGGTGGGGCCATACCTTTGTTGTATGTTTTGAAAGACCTGCAGTGGTCGAAACATGTTGGCTCTTTTAATGATTTGGCCACTATAATAAAGTTTTTTTTTATTATTATTTCCTTCCTTGTTTTTCCACAGGTTTTCTATATTTTTCCGAGTGCTTGGATTGCCCTCCTATCAATCACTTTGCCACTTCTGTATAAACTGATTTTTTAGCCTCTTTTCTGTTTTCACTCTTGCCATTCATGCTTGTTAATTTAGTCCGTTCCCATTCCGAAGTCATCAGACACTTACACCAAAAGCCATCTGTCGCAGCGGTATGATATGCCACAGGATGCCGTCACTTTGAAACAATGTAATATAAGGACATGGAAAGGGGTAAGAGTGGTGGTGGATGCAGAGACTGCTTATACATAGTGCCCAGCGTTACGCCCCTGGCCATTTTACCCTAACATGTCACTGGGGTAAAGTTGGGGTTCTTTATGTGTTTGAAGGACCAAAGTTTTTAAAATATTTTACTTGACAACATAAAAATACAGCAGATACACATACGTATGTTACAGCTGTATGTATTCTGTGCTGCTGTTTCTTTTCCCTCCATTGTAGGTCTGCCCAGGTGTGCCGCATTACTTAACAAGGTGCATTGCACCGGGCATGGAGGAGGTGCTTAAGAGCTCCTGTGCCAGCAGCAGAGGAGAGAGGCTCTGGTGTGGGGACTGCTGGCCCTGCTGCCTCTCACCGAGGGATTTTTGTTGTCTTGTTTGCTTATTTTACTTGTGGTTTTGAGTGTTTTAAAGGTGTCTCATGTGATTATTTTGGGTCAGTGGTGGAGTTTTGCTCATCCCATAGGGCCGCCCAAAGGTGGGGCGTAACAAAACAAGTTCTAAAAGTAATACTTAAGGTAGTCTTCAGAATTTTAGGTGTCTTTTGGAGGGATAATCTATCAAAAAGTGTCTCAAATCACCTGACTTCACACTTTGGAAACACCCAAAGGAGTAGATGTTAAAATGTCATAAAAAGGACACTAAAGTCAGTCCAGTGACCATCACTGCAGTATTACAGAAATGTATACATGTAGGAGTCATGAAACTGAAAATACATGGACACAGCACCAAAAATCAATAGTTAGAAATACCAAAAAGCCAAGTCATTCATAGGCTGCAAGTCCCAAAATATTACTATAATGCTCTTTTGTCACCACATGATGACTTAAAGTATTATCATTGGTAAGAGCCAAAGTACCCAATACTCTTTTGTTTGTTTGTTTGTTTTTAAATCCAATGAGCTCATCCAACAAACAAATCATTATGCACAGAAACTTTACACACTGATTCCAATGTGTTTTATGTCTTGGGCATTGCGAAAATTTGCAATACCTGACAAAATTAAAAGAAATAATTCCTCGTTTGCCTATCTACCTATCTGGCTGTCACCACACCCTCCCTGTCTTGCATTTGGTGCTGCAACTGCATGACAGGGCGGCGCTGTTCTCCTTCTCTTGTCTCGACATTCTGTGTGCAGTCCACATCCTCCTCCTCTTCATCATCATCCACCTGAATATAACTATCTGACCTGTTGAAAGTGAGCTGTCTGATTCATGGAATGATTCTATGCACCCTGTTCCTCTGTTTTGTTTTGTTGTGTCTGTGTCCCACCGCCACATTGTCTTCACTGATTCTTGGTCAAACGTCTCTAAAGGCTTCTGTTCCAAACATGACTGACACAACATGAGGTATTTATTTTTAGATGTGCAAAAATTTCAGACAAAAAAAACAGACAGTGTGCAAAGGCCTTAAATGCTATGAGTCTTTTACAGTCTGACAAACCCAATTAGTTCAGTACAACCAACATGATTTGCTTTGACCTTGAAAAGCTTAATTAAGTTGAACCAACTTAATATTTATCTTAAAGTTGTGGTGGAGTGTAGTGGTCACGTCAATTAATTTAAGATATTCAGATTTATTTATTTAATTTCATCCTACTCAAAAAATGTCAAAGATGTTTTGGATTTTGACCAACTTCTTTAAAAAACGTGTTAACTGATTAAAACACTTTAATGCAGGGGTGTCAAACTCATTTTAGTTCATGGGCCACTTACAGCCCTATTTGATCTCAGACGGGCCAGACTAATAAAACCATAGGAGCAATTTCAACAGTATGTCTCAGTTTGTCTACAATCAGTCTGCTTCTCACTTACATGTGCATTTATCCATACATTTCCTGATTCTTTTGAGCTGAGGCTGCTGATTGATAATATTCATATTAATATTTTATTTATTTATTTTGGGTTAGGGTTAGGGTGTAGGTTTAGTTTCAACATTGTGAGGGACACACACGAAATGGCGATTTGGGGGTCCCCTTCTACCACAAAATTTTGAACCTCAAACACTTAATTTCCTGCATTCCAGTGAATTTTTATGCAGCAGTCGGTGCCTTTTCTGCGCCAATTTATGATGTAAATGTTTTTAATTTTGTTAAACTAAATGTCCTCTGCAAATGCACATGCTCTATTGAGGGGGACGTGTCCCCTGCGTCCCCACTGAAATCTACACCTCTGGTAAACCATTGTGGAATTATGGATCATTTTTAAGGTTGTTCTTTTGCATATATATGGTATTAGAATAGAGGTCTCCTGTTAATATTTATATAAAATCATTCAACTTCTCCAGCAGCTGCATCGCAGAAATATCATCTAAATGTCATAAAACTACAAAATGCCAAATATCTGAACTCACTGCCCATTTAAGTCCTATCATCTCTCTGTCATCAACACATGAAGACAAACTGCCTGAGATATGAAAATACCAACCGCGAACCCCCGTCACGTGGTGCGCTTTATGATTTCTGCGCTCCGGGTTTGTCTCCAGTTGCGCTGGAGAAGAGACGCTTCACACTTTGCGGAGCTTCTTCTTTTTTTCTGCCTCTGCCTTTTTTCAGCCGAGCTGAGCCGAGAGGATGAGCGTATCTGGGCTTCTTCCTCAGCAGCACTTGGTCCTCCATGCCTCCGTCTGAACAAGTTCGTTTCGGTCTGATGTTTCCCATCCGACCGTCATTTGGGAGAGAATGCGTCTTCTCGTTTTTGCGACTTTATTTGGAGTCCTTCTCGACGCAGGTAGGTACGAGTTGGAGAGACTGCGGGGACGTTTCTGTCAGTGTGTGAGGGGACAGTGTGGAACGGATGAGTTCAGCTTGTATGCATCAAAAACAAGTGCTTATATTGTGACATGCTAATATATACTTTACAATAAAGGATAAATACCAATATCATATATTTTAAATCATTTAATCCAGCGATATGCTCTTCCAAAATTACTTAATTGTGATGCTATTCAATTTAGAAAACAGAATTGCCTTTGGGTAATTTCATCAACATGCGTAAAATCTGTGCGTAAAATCGGACTTCCACATCTGCATTTACTGGCTGGTTTTATACTTTTGGGAAAACTTACAGAACATGGATGGATAAGGGGTGTGATCAACAATCATGTTGCGTTTTTTGGCGCTGGTTTTGCGCGCTCAGGGAGCAGCGCTTTGCTGGACTCCTCTGCGCTTTTTTGACACAGAGGGAAAAGCTAGAAGCAGATTTGAACCTGTGATCATCCGTCACCCATGAGCTGCTTGTTTCTGTTCCTCTGGTGGAGAGCTGAGTGCTGTGAATGAGGGTTTTTCTTCTTGCCAAAGCAAGTATTGGCAAATAA